TTATATTAAACATGATTGATGCATCATATGTCATATATTTTGATGCGCCTGAATCTAAAATCCAGGTGAGGGAATTGATTGAAGAAGAATAAGAAAAGGATTTGGAGTTGGGAAATGCTTTACCAGCACAGTTGGCAGACACTACGGGTTCAGAGTTTTGCTCGTTCTGACCAGCTTTGACCTGTTGAAGTAAGTTAAAAAGTTGATTAAGATGCTCCTGAGTTATAGACTTGTTACCTCTTTAACATTGACTGATTCTGATGGAATCTCTGATCCTGCATATGCTGCATTGCTGTGTGCGACTCCTTGATATTTCTTAGACTTGGTAAACTTAAAATCTGCAGGAAATCCCACAATCTTATAGCATTTTTTGCTGTATGCCCAGATTTCTTACAAAAACTGCATATCAGGTTGTTTCTCCTTCCCTCATTGCTTCCCTTCTGCTTACTTTCAAATTTTCCTTGTATCTGGTTTCCAAACTTGTTTGTGGTAAAGAAAGCAAACTCTCCCGGGTGTTGTGTGACATGAATCTCCCTTTGTTTTTCATCTTGAATGAGAAATGAGTAGGCTTGATTCACGGTTAGGAGAGGAGACATCATTAAGAAGTTATGTTTAACACTTGAATAAGCTTCATTCAGTCCCATGAGGAACTGAATGAGCCTTCCATCTTGGTAAGATTTGAGTGACTTAGCTTTGCCACCACATGAGTGTGTACAACTACAATGAACACAAGTGTTCAGGTTATCCAATTCATCCCAAATTTTCTTTACTTTTGTGTAGTACCCAGCTACATCTGATGAACCTTGAGTTAAATCACTTAACTCTTTTTGTAGTTGATATAGTTGAGCCCCACTACATTGGCCAAATCTGTCCTCCAATTTTGTCCAAAGATACTTAGCAGTCTTTGAATAAATAACACTCTCTGCTATCTCCTTGGAGAGTGAGTTGAGTAGCCAAGAAATCACCATGTCCTTGCACCGATTCCAGGCTTGTGAAAGAGTTGAAGTGCCTGCTGGTTCAACAAAACTTCCATCAATGAAGCCTATTTTATTTTTAGCATACAAAGCCATGAGAACTCTTCTTCTCCATACAACATATCCTTTTCCATCAAATATTGAATATACCATGAGCATCCCTGGAAAGACGGAAGAGTGAAAGTAATAAGCATGAGTGGAGTCAATCACAATAATACTCCCTGAATCAAGGGTAGAGGTCTCCTCTGTGGTAGATCCCATGATGAAGAGAGAAAGAAAGGAGATTGAGGATGAAAAATAAAAATTAAAAAAAATCCGCAGAAACCTAAAACATGAACACTGCTCTTGATACCATATTAAAACATAGAGATAAGGAAATTTCTGATTTTATTTTCTTGAATCAAAAGTGTTGTACATAGTAGTGTATTTATCCGGTAACAATAAAAGATGGAATCTCTTGAATACTCAAATGCCCATGAGCAGCCCATACTAGTGGATTTATTTAATTTTGTCTGGTACTATGTACTACTTTTTGTTAAAAGTAGTGCCATATTTTTTCTTGTCGTTGGAGGGTGTAGAGCATGTGGGAATATTGTCATATTCTGTCTGGTCATTTTCCCTTATTTTATCCACAAACCCATTCAACTTCCCAATATAACTACATCCGCCCCTGCTAATACCTAGTAAACCAACATTCTCTATATGATTCTATGTGAACTTATTATTTAGGTACTCATAAGTAATCAAACAGTTAAGAAAGTCAATCAGTTATTCTCTCTCCTCGACTTAACCCAGCGGCTAGTTTATAGACCAATGTCTCTTCCACGCGCCATCTGATGGAACCGCCGGACGACGCCGTCCGGAGCGTCTGGGGGGCCAATCAACTCCAAATAACATGGAGACCCAATCTGCTGATCCAATTGGCAGGAATTTGAACTATGCTTCAAAGGTCGTCTCTTCATCGTCTCCGACCTCTTCGATTTGCCAAGACAGGGAGTCTGTAATTGCAACACACACCATACACAACGGCATGTCGATGGTTCTTTTCAAAGCCACAGATTACTATGGTGTCATGGCTGAGGAGTGCAAGCTCACAATCGTTGGGAGATTCCTCAAACCAAGGCTCCAAATTGACAAAATTAGGTCAAAATTCAAGAAATTAATATCAATTAGGGGCTCTGTAAAGATCGGGGTCTATGATATGTACAATGTTTTCCTTGATTTCACTAATGAAGAAGATTTTAATATTGTCTGGTTTAAAGGAGTTATCGAAATTGAAGGGCAACAAATGTGGCTTCAAAAATGGTCGCCGGACTTCAAGCCGGAAGAAGACCTGCCTATCGCTCCGGTATGGGTGCTTCTTCCTTGTCTACCTTTTCATATGCACACTTGAAATTATGTTAAACAAGTGGTGAGTGCAATTGGTACTCCCCTTGAAATGGATTTAGCTACTAAAGGAAGAACAAGGCCTAGTATGGCCAAAGTAAGAGTTGAAATCGATTTGCTTAAAGAACAATCGACCTCTGTTTATGTTGTTCAAATATATGACAATGCACCTCAAAAAGGCTTTGTGCAAAAAATTGAATTTGAGGGAGTTCCTAAATACTGTAAATTTTGTCGAAAACTGGGACATAACTTGGTCAATTGTAGATCTTTAGAAAGGAAAAAAGCTTCTGAAAATAGGGAGTTAGAGGCCCAAAAGAATGCTGAAAATCAGAATGAAGATAACAGACTACTTGGGGATCAAAATATGGAATCTGGAAATAAACTTGGTACTGTTACTAATAGAGAAAATACTAGGCTAGTTGATCAAAGCAGTGAAACTGCCGCTACTGTTTCTGCTGAATCTGTTGAAGCTGGAACAGATGCCAATGCTGGGCAATCTGAACACAGAATTAATCAAAAACAAAAAAATGAAAATTTGAAAATTGGCACTACTGTTGATAGGGAAAGTGTGAGACTAGGTGATCAAAATAAAGAATCTAAGGTTGCTGAATATGCTGAATTTGCTGGACCTGCTGAGCATACTGATCAAAACAAAAATTATATTTCTGCTGAATCTGCTGCATTTGAAACTGCTAATAAGGCTCGACAGCAAGAACACAGTTTTAGTCAAAAGGAAAAAAGTGAAAAACAGAATCCTAGAACTGTTGTCTATAGTGAAAATTTGAGACTAGTTGATCAAAATAAAGAATTTAAGGTTGATGAATCTGTTGAAATTGATAGAACTGGAACTGCTACTAATACTGAACAGACTATTAACAGAATTAGTCGAATGAAAAATAATGAGTCTAAGTTTGATAAACACTTGCAACAACCACCTAGCAACATCAGGGAGAGATCGAGGAAAAAAACAAAAAAAAAAGCAAAAACAGAAAACTTCCTCAGAAGAGAGCCAAAGTCTTGTTCAAACCAATATACAACTTATCTGATGACTATAGCTGGAGGAAGAAACATAACAAAGAAATAAGCTTGGCCCTTCAAAACATGAACCAGAACATTGCTGAGGACAATATTTGTGAACAGGGAGGTCAAGCTAATGTTTGTGAATTGGGAGATCAACCTAAGGCTGTCAATGAGCAAACTAAGGCACTCAACGACCTAACTGAGGCTGTTAATGATCAATTGCATTCGAGATCTAAGTTAGACAAGCAGGAGCAGAAAGCTTATACCAATGATATTGGAACAAGGGAGAATATGCAGGAGTCCATTCGAGAAAATGAGAACATGAGTGAGAGGGGTGACTATGAAAACAGTCAAATTCAAAATAGAGCCCTTAACCTAAGTGATTATGTCAATGAATCACTAGTGTGCCTTCTGAAATCCGAAATCTTCCTGGAATTGAGATGGTAGTTAATCTCAATATGGAATCCAACTTAAAACATGATAGATATGTGACTAGTTAACAAATAGAGGTGACATCGCCTAATAGGGTGACAATTATAGTTCCTGAAGATCAAATACAAACTGATTCAAAGGATGAGTCTTTCCATATCATATGCTCCAAAGAAAAGAAAAGGAAAAAAGTAAATAAGAACAAAAACAAAGATACTACACCTCCTAAAGGGGGACACTCATGCTATTCTGAACTGTTTCCATGATAAATGCCATTTTTTGGAACATTAGGGGCGTGAAAACCAAAAAAGCCTTGCCAAGGCTCAAAAAATTGATCTCCATCTATAAGGTGGAACTTGTTGCTATTATGGAGCCTTTTATTAGTACTAATCAAATAGAAAGGTGCAGGAGGTTCCTTGGTTATCAACACTGTATTTCTAATTCAAATGGTCATATTTGGATTATGTGGTCAGGCAACAACATGACTACTATTCTGAGCAACCATGATCAACAACTTACTATCAAATTGCATTATGGAGCTGCCAATAGTGTTCTCTACATCACAGCAGTATATGCTAAATGCACTCCTGAAGAAAGGAGAGAGCTATGGAATAGTCTTGAGTTAACCAATCTTCATGTGAACGGTCCATGGTGCATTGGAGGTGATTTCAATGTCATTTTAGATCCGGATGAGAAAAAAGGCAGTAGACCTCACAGAATGAACAAAAGTCTAGAATTCAGCAATTGCATGGATAACTATGGTATGATGGACCTGGGTTTTGTTGGGCCAAAATACACATGGTGTAACAATTGGGAGCCAAGAAGAAGAATATGGAAGAGATTGGATAGAGTGTTTATCAATGATGATTGGTCCCGAATCTTTCAAAATAATATTGTCAATCATTTGGATAGAATTGGCTCTGACCATAGACCTATTCTAATTCAATGCAAGGACTCTAACCAGAAGGGGCCTAAATACTTCAAGTTTCTAAATTTTTGGACTAATCAACCAACTTTTTTGCAGGTAGTTGAAGAAGTTTGGAGAAATCATGTCAATGGAAATCCTCTGTGGAGACTTCATCAAAAGCTTAAAATGCTGAGCAGAAGACTGACTCAATGGTCCAAAGACGACATTGGCAATGTTTTAACCAAGTTCAATACTGGGAAGATAAAATAAAAGACCTTGAACAAATGGATCTTATGAACAGTAATGATACAACCAGAACTGAACTGAACAAAGGACAAGCTGAGTACATTAGATGGATGGGGATGCACGATGACATTCTCAGACAGAAAGCTAGGGTGAACTAGTTTGAAGAAGGAGATGCTAACACTAAATACTTCCATAGCACCATCAGAGGGAGAAGGAGAAGGCTGCAAATTCTTAAAATCAAAGATCATAGAGGCCAATGGATTGAGGGGGATGCTAATATTGGCAAGGCAGTTGTCCATCACTTTCAACAGTTCTTTAACATCAATCATCACTACAATGATCATGATATCATCAACTGTATTCCTAGATGTGTAACTGATACAGATAATAAAAGTCTCACTGCCATTCCTGACACAAAGGAGATTAGAGATGTTGTCTTTAACATGGATCCTGACAGTGCAGTAGGGCCGGATAGTTATAATGGGAAATTCTTTCAATCCTGTTGGGATATCATTAAGGAGGATATCACTGATTTTGTTCAAGCTGTTTTCAATGGCAGGAGGCTCACTAAAAAATTTTCTCATACTTACTTAGTTCCTATTCCTAAAGTTGACTCCCCTAATAGTTTTTCTGACTTGAGACCTATTAGTTTGAGTAACTTTACTGCCAAGATTATCTCCAAGATCCTTTCCAGAAGGCTGAATCCTATTCTTGGGAAGCTTATATCAGAGAATCAAAGTGGCTTTGTAAAAGGAAGATTGATCACTGAAAATATCCTTCTAGCTCAGGAGATTGCTTAGGGCGTGAAAAAGAAGAACAGAGGAGGCAATGTTATTATAAACTTGACATGGCAAAAGCTTATGATAGAATTTTCTGGACCTTTCTGATAGCATTTATGAGGAAATTTGATTTCTCTGAGAATTGGATTGACATGATCTGGGGACTTCTACAAGATATATGATACTCTATCATCATCAATGGGGCTAGAACAAGTTTTTTCACATCTGCTCAGGGCCTCAAACAGGGAGATCCCTTATCCCCTTCTTTGTTTATTATTGGAGCTGAAGTTCTTTCTAGATCTCTAAATGCTCTAAATGACTTTATCGGCTTCACTCCTTTTAGCATGGATCCGAGAGGTCCGATGATCAATCATTTAGCCTACGCTGATGATATTGTTATATTCTGTGGTGGAAACAACATGACTCTCAAGTTAATCAAAAAGGTTATTGACAGGTATGGAAAGGCTTCTGGGTAGAAAGTTAACAACGATAAGAGCTTCTTTATCACAGCCCCTCACTCTTGCGCTTCTAGAATCAATAGAATTAGGAATGCTACAAGCTATATGGATAAGTCTTTCCCTTTCATTTATCTGGGATGCCCCATTTATTTTGGGAGGAAGACTAGCAATCTTTTTGACGGTATGCTCTCTAAGGTGGTCAAGAAACTTAATGGATGGCAAGCCAATATGATGTCCTCTGGAGGGAGAATGATCTTGATTAAACATGTCTTACAATCCCTCCCCACATACATCATTTCTGCTATGAACTCTCCTAAAGGAATTACTAAGCTCATGGAGAAACACTTTGCAAACTTCTTTTGGGGCACAAATGAAGGTAAAAACAAATATCATTGGTCTTTATGGAATAATCTTTGTCTCCCCAAAGATGAGGGAGGAGCCGGTGTCAGAAAAATGAAGGATATCATAGATACACTTAACATTAAAAGATGGTGGAGATTCAGAACTCACCCCTCCCTATGGGACAACCTTCTCAAGAATAAATATTGCAAAAGAACCCATCCAGTGAATAAAAAGTCAAATCCCTCTGATTCTCATATTTTGAGAAACATGCTCAAAATCAGAGACAAAGTAGAGGAAAACATTATATGGGAAATACAGAAAGGTAATTGTAGCTTTTGGTGGGATAACTGGACAGGTAAAGGTGCATTGGCCAACATATTACAAGGTAGTGGAAGATCCTCTAAAGTACAGGTGAAAGACTTCATAATTAATGGAGAATGGAATATTGTCAAACTCAACGATGTTCTTCCCGTGCATATTATGGATAGTGTTGCTCAACTGGATATAGGTGACCCAAATGAGGATGATTTTCCGGTTTGGACAACTTCTAATGATGGGAGATTTTCTTCTAACTCAGCATGGCATTCTATAGATTCAAGAAACAGAAGAATATCTTCATAAACAAAATCTGGCATAACTCTCTCCCTTTTAAAATGTCCTTTATCTCTTGGAGAATTTTCAAAAATAGGTTACCTTTTGATGATGTTATTTGTAGATTTGGTACTAACATTATTTCCAGATGTTCTTGTTGTTCTTCTATGCAGGTAGAAACAGTTCAACATGTCTTTAATGGTAGTGAAACTGCCATCTTCATATGGAACAACATAGGTAATGCATTTGGAATCAAACATCAGCAGGAGCCTATTATTGCTACCTTTAAAAGATGGTGAGAAACAACGGCCAACAATAAAGTGCACAATCAAATGTTTAAGATAGCTCCTACAATCATATGCTGGAAACTGTGAAAACAAAGAAATGCATGCAAATATGGAAAACAAAAGAAGTTTTGGCTGAACTCGATGAGACACCAAATCATATGGACATTGAAAACGGCTATCTCCAACATGGTACCAGGTGAATACACTCAGATGGAATGGCC